TTCGCGCTCGCCGGCCGACGGCTCGCCTCCGAGTGGAGGGCTTTCACGACGCAATCAGGTTGTCCGCCTAGCTCACAGCGTTGCGTCGGCGGAGCGGAGGCCCCGGAGGAGGAGGACGAGCCGGAGCCGGCCGCGGTGGACGACGACCGGGATCGAGTCCGGGCAACGGCGGGTTTCGTAAGACGAAAAACGGAATCCAGAAAATAAGGGCGAGAACGCGGCGGGATCCGAAAACGCGGTCGAAATCGAAGACGAGGGCTTTTGCTTTTTTTTTTTTCCCAATCTGGCGGCTATTCGCGCGAGAACGGCGCGGGCGCGAACGCCGCGCGCTCCCGAGAGGCGCCCGCCCGAGACACAAAAAAGCGCGCACAGCGGCCTCTCGCGGATCCGCGAAAACAAAAAAACGCTCGAATACGTACCTCCCGGGACGTAAATCGCGGTCCGCAGAAACGTCCGCGTGGCTACGTTTCCACAATGAGCCCGGGTTGCTTTTGCCTCACCCAGAATATAAAAACACATATAAACACAAGTAGATCATTTACTGTAATCATTACTATTGTTCTGTGAAGAGACTTTCAACCAGCACAACAAAAAACATTTCTGAAGACAATCACCTACTGCACCTTTAAAGGGACTCTCCACTTTTTTGGCAATAGGCTCACTTTATGAGAGTTAAATGAGCTAAACAGTCAAGTTAAACACTTCTGAATTCTTTTGCATTGAAAAATAATCCACAGCTGTAATTTGTCCTAAAAGTGCTGCGGTGCTGGCGAGGGGCTTTCACGCTTGTGTGGTCCAGCAAGTGGCCGGGATCAGAATATATCTGCTTCATAAGCAGAAGATGAGCATATAATCTGCAAGATGCATGTTTATTAATGTGCAAGCTTGTCTTTAGGGTGTAAAGAATGTCTTAAATATTAATATCTAGCCATTTACAGCATAATTCCACAGCATTTCTGTGATTACTGAAAAATTACAGTATATAAATATTGCCACTTGTGTGACTTTGGTAAATCAAATAGAATAGTTTGAAAACATTGACAGGTGCAGTTTTGAGTATTTCTGAAGTACTGCAAAATACTTGCTTACACAAAAAAACTAGAAACGGTTTCCATATTTTAGTGAAAACTTAATTTTTTTCATGACAAGGTTGACATTTGCATTGAATTGCTCAAATATAAATAAATCCCAACTTAAAAAGCACAAATATGCAGTATTTAACCTTACACAAGCAGGGAGAAACCTCCAATGATGCAGTTATTAGATCATAATTACAAAATAATTAAAAAATTGCATTACTTTGCTAAGTCTGTGATTTATAATTGCAAATTTGAACTTCTTACTTACTTACTCCTGTTTATATTGAAGTTGACATTTAGCCACACCATGCAGGTGTTTTGTAACAATTCGTTTTTACAAGGTGGGTCTTTTAACTTTACTTAAATTTACTATAAACCGCTATAGTAGTTTAGGCATGTGGTAAACACTAATACTGTATAATACACCATTTACTATAAACCGCTATAGTAGTTTAGGCATGTGGTAAACACTAATACTGTATAATACACCATTTACTATAAACCGCTATAGTAGTTTAGTCATGAGGTAAACACTAATATATACTGCATAATACACTATAGTATTTACTATAAACCTCCATAGTAGTTTAGTCATGTGGTAAACACTAATATATACTGTATAATACACTATAGTATTTACTATAAACCGCTATAGTAGTTTAGTCATGAGGTAAACACTAATATATACTGTATAATACACTATAGTATTTACTATAAACCGCTATAGTAGTTTAGCCATGTGGTAAACATTGATATATAATGTTTAATACACTATAGTATTTACTATAAACCGCTATAGTAGTTTAGCCATGTGGTAAACACTAATATATACTGTATAATACACTATAGTATTTACTATAAACCTCCATAGTAGTTTAGTCATGTGGTAAACACTAATATATACTGTATAATACACTATAGTATTTACTATAAACCGCTATAGTAGTTTAGTCATGTGGTAAACACTAATATATACTGTATAATACACTATAGTATTTACTATAAACCGCTATAGTAGTTTAGTCATGAGGTAAACACTAATATAACCGTATAGTACTTACTATAAACAACTATAGTAGTTTAGTCATGTGGTAAACACTAATATATACTGTATAATACACTATAGTATTTACTATAAACCGCTATAGTAGTTTAGTCATGTGGTAAACACTAATATATACTGTATAATACACTATAGTATTTACTATAAACCGCTATAGTAGTTTAGTCATGAGGTAAACACTAATATAACCGTATAGTACTTACTATAAACAACTATAGTAGTTTAGTCATGTGGTAAACACTAATATATACTGTATAATACACTATAGTATTTACTATAAACCGCTATAGTAGTTTAGTCATGTGGTAAACACTAATATATACTGTATAATACACTATAGTATTTACTATAAACCGCTATAGTAGTTTAGTCATGAGGTAAACACTAATATAACCGTATAGTATTTACTATAAACCGCTATAGTAGTTTAGTCATATGGTAAACAACACTATAATAGTTGTTAATGTGGGACCGCACACACAAATGAACAGACACAAACAAACACGACGCGTGTGCGCGCGTGTGTAGAACCCAACTTCTTGGTCGTAAAAACAGAATAATTAGTAAAGCACAGGAGATGTCAGATCATACCTGCTGTTTATCTGAACTCTCCTTCCCCACGGTGGACACTTTCGGAGCCGGAATCCTCTCGCAGGTGCTTCCCTCCAGCAAATAAATCCCAGAGGGTCTGGTGCTCTGCTCGTTCTCAAAGTAAAACAGCACATTCTGGTAAAGCGCGAAGTACTTCTCGTTCCAGCGGTTGTTCTCGGCGGCTTTTTTGCTCAGGTGCCCGCGCTTGATTCCCTCTTTACGCGCGACCATGGACAGATAGAGCGCGTGTCCTTCATTATAACGCACGCTCTTCTGCATCTTCCAGTCCCGATTCTCACACTGAACCCATCATCTTCCTCTCACACAGCAGCCACAGATGATGACGAGCTCAAGTCCTGCCAGAAAAAAGCGCTGATGCTGCGCGTAAAGGAGATTCCGGGCTCGCGCAATTACGCAGAGTGATATAAAGGAGCGCGCGCGAGTTACAAAAAAAAACCCCGAATATTCAGCTAGGAAAGTAAAAAAGTATTAATAAAAAGATGATGTCCACTGAGTGCAGCGACGTAAAAAAAATAGATTCAGTGAACAGACGGTACAACAGAATCACGACCGAGATCAACGCTAATCGGCTTTGACACCAACTTAAAGAGACAGAACTATTTACCCGGGGGACTCTGTTTACATCACTGTCCGGAGAGAATACTGTATGATGCTGCACACTTTCCACAATAATAACAAAAACAACAAACACTAATATGACTTCTTCGTTAACCCACACACTGAAGTATTTAATCAGTATTTTCACTCAGAGTATATTAAACTCTGTTGTTTACAACTCTTTGTTAACGAACGCCACAGCATACAATATTAACAAGTGAACTGATCAACAGTAATAAATACTGTAGTATAGTTTTTACTACAGTAAACTGTTTTGTATTGTAGTATAATATACCTAGTGACAGATTTAGCGAATTGTGGGCCCCAAGCAACTCCTGCCATGGGGCTCAAGTCCTGATGCACCCTTTCTACTTTTATTTAACGTATTATTTATTTAGGTGTTTTTTTATATATTACTTATTCTTTTTTCTATGTTTTATCAGTCTTTACATTTTGAATGATTAGTTTTCAATTAAAAAAATAGTGTCTGTGTGAGTGTGTGTGTGTGTATATATATATGTGTGTGTGTGTGTGTGTGTGTATGTGTGAGCGTGTGTGTGTGAAAGTGTGTGTGTGTGTATATATATATGTGTGTGGGTGTGTGTGGGGGT